GGACACATGTAGCAGTTTGGACGGGACTGTCCTCCAGCCCAGTCCACTTCTGACTCTGTTTGCTTATCGTGTTCAGCACAAAGAAGGTCCTTTTTTTTCCAGTTAATCAAGCCGAACTGACAGACGCTTGTTTTTTTGTTTTGTTTTTGTGGCTAAACGGACACATACTGTACACCTTCTACACGGTTTTACCTTCAACTATACTGTGAAATCATTCCAAATGCACTCTGCAGGAGACCGGAGGACAGAAAGGGCTCGGTTATTTTCACGGGCAGTTTTTTGGACCTCGGCCGGAGCCTTTTTTTGGACCCCGCCCGTAAAAACCGGCGACACGCGTCTCACACGAAGCCTTCAGGGGTCAGGGGTCAGACCTCACCCGGGCTCCAAATGTAGCAGGGCCACTGTCATTACCTCCAGGTCAAAGGTTAAGCGTTTGCTAACGGGGCCCAACGATTAAGGCCCCTGAGATGGAGACAGTGATTAATTATTTATCCTTCTGTCACAATGGAAGAGAATTAATGCCTAATGGGAGACGAGTGCCATCTGCCCTGGTTTCTCTTTAAGCTCTTCAGGTCTCGTGTGTGCTTCAAAGTTGTCGTTTTGTGCCTCGTTTCCACATATTTGACGCATAAAAAAAGCACTTAACCAAGAACTCCTCAAGCTAAACTTCTTTCTGAAGCCAAAATCAATGCATGCCGAGCAAATCGTGCATCTGTAAAGCATCTTTTCCCTAAAAAAAAAAAAAAAGTGAAACTAGCCTAAATGGGCTAGCGGTGCAGTTCCCAGGCTGACCAGTAGGGGGACCAAACGCGACCGTGGAAACGAAGCTTTAAAGCAACAATGAAAGCGTCACAGGACGGCAAACTAATGTACAGACGAGCACAGCTTTTTGCTTTTGCTTTGTATTATTTGCATAATGAGGTTTTAAAGGTATTTTTAAGCTTTTTAAATGTAGCATTTCCCGCCTGCCGTCTCCACATTATGTCCAACTTGTAGGTTTTAATCGCATCTTACAAGGGATTTGTGTGTTTTCCCCCCCCAGACATGAAGCCGTGTCACACTTTGGAAATGTTGGGTGTCTGTCTCCGTGTTTTTCCTGGGTGGAAAAAGTCGTGGCAGCTGAGGAGTTTCAGCCAAAGCAAAAGCTTTGTCAAAAAAAAAAATTTTTTTTTAAATGGCTCATTGTTTTGTGATCATTTGTGGGTCGAATGAGCACTTTAAAATGTCAAATTCAGTTTAAGTTTGCTTCCTCTTTTGTGATTTGAGCTGCACAAACCTCCTCTTTTTTTTTTCAAATTTGCATACATTTTTGTGTGTATGTGAACGGCCTTCATCCGTTCTTACTACCTCAGTAACAAAACGAGAAAAGAGCAAAAAAAAAAAAAACTACTGGGTGTTGCTCAGGTTGTGTTCAGAGGCCCCAGCATCAGGAAAAAGAGTCAGTGTGTGGGCGTGGGGCCCCTTTCTGCCCAGAGGAAACCCCGATTCCCCGGGGGGATCTCTCTTTTTGAGCCACTTTCCACCACGTCTGCTTTAAAAAGCGTTCATTTCCAAACAATTTTTGTTTGTTTGTGCGTTTCCCAGATAGAAACTCAGAGATTTGTCTCAGATTTGTCAGGATTTCTTGTTTTTTTTTTTCTTTCTGGCAGCCTCGATTGTGTGTAAGCGTGAGAGTGTGTGAGCTTTTTAACTTTCAAAGTCTTTATTAACTTATTTCCAGTTTTTGTCTTTGTTTTTTTTATTGGGAAATGGTCATAGATTCCCTGTCATTTCTCAAACTAATTGTTTTTTTTGTTTTTTTTCTGAAACTATATCTTTGCACTACTTAAAACCTTAAAAGATAACTTCATTGTAACCTTTAGAAAAACACCTACATCCTTATTTGAGACGAGTCGTTTAATTATCTCTGGATCAAACGGCAGAGATGCAGATTTCTATCAGTTTTTAAATTGAGATTTAAAAACTGATAGTTTTTTTGTGCCCTCTGGGTTGAAATGAACTCAAATATAGCAAAACAAACATTAGTGTCTCACTGTGCTCAAGTAAATTGATCTAATTCAAATGTCGCAGCTATAACAAAGTATGGAGTTATTTACTTTGTATATGCATGAATGTAACATAAGACTTATATGGTGTTATTGTAATTTGGCTGGTTTGTAACAGGCCAAAAGTGTAACAGATGCATGAGATCATATTCTTTCTGACATAATGTTTGTATAGAAAACGTTACCTAATTCCATTGCTGGGTTGCTGGTGCAGTGTTGCCTTTTATAATCTCGATTATTTTTATTTGATTTGTTAATGTGTGCTCAAATGAATAAAACGCTCACAAATGATTGTGATCTAAGCCAAAAACGACCGCTGGGGTGTTTGTTTTTTGGGATGAGGTGGAAGTGAAGCTTTCTTTGATAGTTACTTTTCACGCAAAATGATCTTTAAAGATTCTTGTTCATTCATTAAGAACGAACAAGTTTAATAACAAGTTTTATTTCAAAAATGAAAGTTGCATTCATTAAAAACCATTCTAAATATGTTTTTTTAATTTAATTACACAATATAGAATCTTACAGGCTCAGCAAATACTACAATTTAGCTTATTAACCAACTTTTGGATCATGTCGGCATCAATAATCTAATTTTTCTGTTTTTACTCAAAGGAAAGGTGGAAATGATCTAAATGATGACTACTTATTCTGCAAATCTTCTGTAAAAGTAAAGAAAAACCACCCAGAAAAAATTGGAAAAGTGGTGAAACTGGAAGATAAAGGGGATTAATTATGATAAATTAGTTTTAAGTAGTGTATTCGGTGTTATTTAGAGGATGAATTTGGGTTTCTGGGAGCCACTGTAATAAAAAAAAAAAACCTAATAGACACTGGTGTGTAACTTTACTACCTTTCTGTTTTAAAATTCCTCAATTTCAAATTGTAAAGCCCCGCCCACTCCCATCCAGCTCCCGGTGGAGGTCTGTAGTGAGGATCCAGCTCTCTGACCTGTCTCCACACTCAGCGTTTTGTCTCCTAATCCTCCTGTTTTCTGCATGCTAATCCTGCCTGTATATTTAATTAGCAAACACATAATTAAGCTCTTTGTTTCTACCTCGGTCAGCGCATTAACGGGTCCTCGGCCTGGAGTCAGCAAAGATTCATTAAGAAGCTCAAGCTGTGCTCAATCTGAGGAAAACAATTAGCATAAATCTAATTAGCATGTTAGATATCAAGAAGGTTTGAGCACCAATGCTAAAGGGACTTTTAAAACCCTTTTAAAGACTTAAACACTTTTTCTCTCAGGCCTTTGAGTGAGACTACGACTTTATTTTAGTTGTCTTAATTTCCCTCTCCTTACTTGGTTTTGTTTTTTATTAGATTTTTTTGCTCTTACTGTTTTTAATAGTTGAGTTTGTCTTGTGTTGTGGTGATAATTGTGTTTCATGATCTGCTCTAATGGCCTGTACAGCTTAGCTTTGATTTTAGCTTTGGCTGACTGAAAGCGCTTTATAAATAAAGTTGAGTTGAGTTGACCCATAAACGGGGCTTTTTAAGACCCTGTTTACAGCTTTATGAGTTAATTAGAGGATAGAACGAAATGCAGAGTTTAGTTTGATGTCTTCAGAAGCAGATTTGGGTCGTCAGCACACCTGTGTGAGCAGGTGTGTTCCTGATTTGACACAGATTAAATCTCAGAGGAAACATCTCCTCAGTGGTTTCTTTTTCATTGCATTTGAACTCATCTTCGGCTTTTTTTCAAATTCCTCTATCAAAACGGACGCCTTCCTCCTGTTCTCCGACCCGGCGGTGCCTTCAGGGACTCCAGTATCTGGTATTTAAAAACCACCAGCCTGACTCAGTTTGACTTGAACTGATCTCATCCTGTTTTAACCCTTTAAAGCCTAATCCAAGAATGTAACAAAACAGAAAAATACTTTTTTTTTGGTTTGAAGTCTTTATTTGGCCTTTTTTACAAAATATGTCAAAAGAAAAAAAAGAAATACATTTTTAATATTAATAATTTATCACTATGCGATAAGTAAAGATTATTTTTTCTGTAGTCTTCAGGGGTATCTGATTGTGTATAATAGGATTTTGAGCAAAGTTTTTACCATTAAATTATGCAAAAGGTGTCAAACGCAAAACATTTCAGAAAGCGTGTATATATCATATCAAATCTGACACATTTGGCACTACAGGGTTAACTTTTTCCATCAGCCGTGACACAACCTCTTCTTCAGATTTGGGCTCGACTGTAAGACGAAAGCTGATTGGCTGCTTTAGGTTGTTGTTTTTAATGAAGCACAAAGAGTTTCAGCCACATTTTATCCAGCATTGAGATCAAAACCTGTTAGAAATGATCGGAAACTCGAACGCAGAAGCTGGGAAGGATTTAAAAAACCCCGATAAGTGTTTGTTTGTGGTGTTTTGAGCACTTCCGCTGCCTGTTGTTGTGATCTGTTCAGATTAAGGAGCTGCTGGTTTCACTCCGGATGAGAGTTACAGAAAACGAGAGGTCAGAGGTCGTCTCCGTGGCAACCAGCTGAGAGTCTGGAGCTGAAGCCACAACAGAGCCGGGG